CAGCACCTGGCGTGAGGAAGAGCGGCGGAGGGGGGAGCGGGGCAGTGCTGTAGGGGAAGAGACGGTAAAAGGGGACCGACTCGTCAAACGTGACGTCCTGAGAGGGGAAGACACGGCGCGAGGTGGGGTGGTAAAACTGCCAGCCAGGCGCGTCAGGGACAAAGCCCAGGAAGACACAAGGAACGGCACGGGAGGAGAGCTTGTCCGCAGACGTATCGCGGACAAAGGCACGAGATCCCCAGACACGGAACACAGACGCATCGCCAACCGCTCCCGTCCAACGCAGTGTCGGCGAGGTCTCCGGAACGGAGACACGGGGCCAGAGGTTGAGCTGATGCGCGGCGTACCGGACCGCAAACGGCCACAGAAAATGGGGGGCAGCCGCATGGATCAAGGAGGTACGAGCGACCTCCATGACCAAGCCAATGCGGCGCTCAGCAACCCCATTCTGCTGAGGAGAGGCCGGAAGCGTGAACGTCTGCTCAATGCCCTCCCCCTGACAGAAGGCCTCCAAGAGGCCGGAGGAAAACTCACCACCTCTGTCAGAGTGCAGTCGCAGGACGGGAAGGTCCGTGCGAAAGCGCCTCTCCAGCTGGAGACGAGTAGCGCGGATCCAAGGGATCAAGACAGCAGGGACCTCTCCCTTGGTACGCAAGGGGAAGACCGTGGTGTAACGCGTGTAGTCGTCAACTACCAGCAGGAAGTAGCGCTCTCCGCCCTGTCCACGGACGCGGGCTGGGCCCCACACGTCCATGTGAAGGGTCTGCAGAGGAGCCTCCGTCGGGGGGAACTCAGAGGAGTGTGGAGTGGCACGCTGCCGCCCCTCGACACAGGGAAGGCAAGGAGGGGCAGGGGACGATGGCAGGGGAGGCAGTGACCTGAGGAGTCCAGAGACAAGGAAACGAGAGTGCATGCCACGAAGGCGCTGCATCGAAGGGTGCCCAAGGCGGTGGTGCCAGAGGACCGTCCGGTGCGACAGGGTGCGACACGAGCAGGGGGCGGACAACTGACCTGACGCAGACGCAGACGCCGCTACCTGAGGGGACTCAGTGGTCAGTGTGTACAAGTCCGACCCCGGTTGCCGAGTGAAGGTAGCCAGGTGACGACCCGTCTGGGAACACGTGCAGTGTGTCACACGCTCGTAGGCAGGGGTGAACTGGTGAACACCCACGTCCTGGAGCGCAGAACCCGCCACCAAGTTCGTAGAGAACGAGGGGAGGTAAAGGCCCGACAGTGTGCCGGACGGGACAGCAGGACAAGGGAGGGCAGTGGTGGAGGTCGCAAGGACCGGACCCCCGGAGGGGTCAGCCAGGGAGACAGCAACCGGCCTAGGGAGCTGCTCGAGATCAGTGCGGTCGCGAAAGAAACAGCGGGAAGCACCTGAGTCCAGTGTGAAGGTGTGCAGTGCCTCAGTAGATGCAGTACCTGAAGGCGCAGACTCACAAGCACCTGAAGCAGCAGACACACCTGCACCTAGAGCAGCAGCCTCACCAGGACCAGGGGCAGCAGACGCACTAGCACCTAGAGCGGCAGCCTCACCGGCACCTGGAGCAGCAGACTGGATACCGGGGTCAGGCGGCACACACAGGTGACAGGCTCCCTCGGCACTAGTAGACAATGCATACATTGCAGTGAGAATAGCATCATAGTCAAGAGCAAAGATATATACCCTCTGCCTAAGCAGCTCCACCCAGTCGGGGAGCTCAGCGTCGTCGCCAAACTCTGTACGCCAAGCGTTGCTCAGACGGGCGAAGCAGCGGGACTCTGTGTGACCACGCGTCCCGCAAGGCTGACCAGTCCGGACACCCGTGCTAATAACGTACGGGCAGCGAGCACTACTCAGCGACCCTCTACTCTGAGCGTACCACTCACGAAGCTGCTGGGGCGTAAGAGTCTCGCGCGGACGACGCTGCTGCTGCACAGGGCCACTACAAGAAGCTCCCGAACTACCCACTCCAGGACGACTCCCACTACTGCCACCCCGACAACCCCAACTGGCGTACCACTCACGAAGCTGCTGGGGCGTGAGGGACACACGCGGACGGCCCTGGAGCTGCATCTGGCCACGCCAGGAGCAGTAGTAGAAGCAGGAGCAGCAGGAGCAGCAGTAGCAGTAGCAGCAGGGGCAGGGCAGTGCTCACCAGTGGTGGGAAGGGCAGGCGCACGACGGAGGCGACTGCGGGGCCGCTACAGCGGCAGGGCGAGGCCGCGACCGCGGCAGGAAGCTCCGCGGCAGTTGGTGCAGGGCGGGACCGGGCCGTGACGGCGGCTGGTGCAGGGCAGGGACAGGGCCGCGACGGTCGCTGCTGCAGGGGCGGCTGCTCCAGGGGCCAGGGGCAGCTCCTGCACTGGCGGCTGCTCCAGTGGCCAGGGGCGGCTGCTGCAGGGGCGGCCGCTCCAGGGGCCAGGGGCGGCTGCAGGTGCGGCTGCTCCAGGGGCCAGGGGCGGTTGCTGCAGTGGCGGCTGCTCCAGGGGCCAGGGGCGGCTGCTGCAGGGGCGGCTGCTCCAGGGGCGGCTGCTCCAGGGGCCAGGGGCGGCTCCTGCAGTGGCGGCTGCTCCAGTGGCCAGGGGCGGCTGCTGCAGGGGCGGCCGCTCCAGTGGTCAGGGGCGGCTGCTGCAGGGGCGGCCGCTCCAGGGGCCAGGGGCGGCTGCTGCAGTGGCGGCTGCTCCAGAGGCGGCTGCTCCAGGGGCGGCTGCTGCAGGGGCGGCTGCTCCAGAGTCCCGGCGCGGAGTAGGGCAGGGCGATGCGGTGGGCAGGGGCGACGCCGCGGGCAGGGGCGACGCGGCGAGCAGGGCGACGCGGCGGGCAGGGGCGACGCCGCGGGCAGGGGCGACGCGGCGAGCAGGGCGACGCGGCGGGCAGGGGCGACGCCGCGGGCAGGGGCGACGCGGCGAGCAGAGCGACGCGGCGGGCAGGGGCGACGCAGCGTCAGCAGCTGGGCGCGGCCGCGTCAGTAGCAGGGCGCGGCCGCGTCAGCAGGAGGGCGCGGCCGCATCAGCTGCAGGGCTGGCGGGGCCGCGTCACGGCAGGGCGGGGCCGCGACTGCGGCCTGACGGGGCCGCGACTGCGACCTGACGAGGTTGCGCGCTAGCTTGACGGGCCTGCAGGGGCGGCGCGCGGTCGGGCAGAAGCTGCGCGCGTGCGGCGTGGTCCTGCAGGGGCAGCGCGCCGACCTGACGGGCCTGCAGGGGCGGCTCTCGGGCCTGACGGGCCTGCAGAGGCGGCTCAGGGGCCTGACGGGCCTGCAGAGGCAGCTCGGGGGCCTGACGGACCTGCAGGGGCGGCTCGAGGGCCCTACTAGCTTGCAGGGGCGGCGCACTGGCCTAGGGCAGCAGGAGGCAGCGCGAGGGCTGCAGGACGGAGCGCAGGCAGAACGAAGGGCGGGGCGCGCGAGGGCGCACTAGCAGAAAAAAGGGCGCACGAGGGCGCACGAGCAGAGAAAGGCGCACAAGGGCGCACGTAAGGTAGGGCGCACGAGGGCGCTTCTAGCGGAATTGTGGGCCCGTAGTATTAAGCGGTCCTAGGTGGCAACCTAGGCTCGTGATACCATGTCAAAATGAACAAGAGTGATTGCACTAGGAAAGAGTTGGGTACAAGTAGGAAACCCTAAACTTACTGTACCCCATAGTAACTACCCCACTACAGCCTAAACAAACTGTAGCAGATATAACATTTGACAACGTGGCCCCACGCGTGGCACCCGAAGCGAGCCGCGGGGAGCAGAGCGAAGAGCGACACGAATGTTAGTAGCAAGCGGGGGTGCGACGGGCCGCGACGCGCGGCTTGGAGGACGCAACGCGCCATGGGGGAACGGGAACGCTGGGAGATGCTTCGAGGAAGTTGTCGGACGCTGGGCGGCAAATGCTCGTCGCACCCAAAATCCTAATAAGAGAGAGCGAAACGATGCGGAGGAAAAGCGGCGAGGAAGAAAGGAGAGTGAGAATGAGGGACGAAAAGGAATTCTGAATTCATCCAACAGCGCTGTGCATGTCATAGCTGCGTTCCGCCATGCTTGGGTTGGGGTACCTGGAGGCAGAGAATGTCTACCTCAGGGCCCTCGCTAGGTTTTGGGCCTGTCTGAGAGTATAACTGGAAATTTTTTTTTTCTGACGCCAAGATGACCAAGTTTCTGTTGTCTTACACTAAAGACGAAAAAGTCTACACAGTCTGATCCATCAGACGAAAAAAAAAAAAGCCCCGTCTGAACCTATTACAAAGTAATGATTTAGGGTTTAGCCCTAACTATCTATCAATATGTTAAGCAGTTAACATCCTAAACAGCTACCAACCTAGTCAGAGTCACTACCAGCGCTGTCGTAGTCATCATCAGTCTCAGCCTCGCTTTCCGCAAAAGGGTCAGGAGCTTTTCCCCTTTCCTTCCGACTGAGCCAGGGGTATTCTGCATCAAGCCTTGCGGCTTCAGCTGCTAGGGCTGCTTCTCGGGCTGCAGCTTCTGCTGCTGCCAATGCTGCGGCTGCTGCTGCTGCTGAGGCAGATCTCTTCTTCGCGCACTTGCTTACTCTCTCCCCGGAAGCCATCAACACATCCTTGGCAGGCCTGCGTTTCTTCGAACCGTTAAACCGCCTCAGTAACTCGGGCCACTCCATGTCATAGCTGAGAAGCGAGACGGTCATCAGCTCCCCTAGCTTCGCGTCACACAGGTTCCCGCGGAGCCAGCTCTTAATCACATTCTGCCGTGAAAAGCCGCGCTCGCACTCAACCGTGCTGAGCGGAAGAACAGCGACGGCGATCCACAAGTGCATAAGATTTGGGTAGCAGGTGGTCCAGTCGAGAGAGGACAGCATGAGCTTCAGGCTGTCCGCAAAGCCCACATCCTCCTGGTGTGTGGACATGATCGTCGAGAACGTGACGATCTCCCGCTGTGCTCGCGCCAAGTTGATGCCTGTGGGGTGTGGTTCGCAATGGGAAGTGCAACAGAAACATGTAATGCTTTAATATGGTCGAGTATTGATCACATAGGCATGAAATGTCGAAACTGTTACGTACCGGGTAGGGTGTCAGGGTCTTCAGGCTTCTTCTTAAACATGTTGCGCAGAGACTGCAGCCACTGCCCAAGTTTCCTCTCGCGCTTCGCCTGGTTCTTGGGATATGACCCTTGCTTGAACAGCTTCGCCCCGTCAAGGTTGGCGAGGTCCTTGAGTCGGTAATCCAGCCGGCCGATCAACGTTGTCACGAACGCGCGCGCCAACTCCAAACACGCACCATGATCCACACCACCCTTCTGCCCCTTGATGGGGTCCTCGTGGAGTGTGTAGGTGAGGTCGCTTGATGTACCGTCGGCCGCCTTGCCAGCCACCTTCACCTCCCGAGATTCCCGGGACGCGTGCTTCTTGAGAAAGGGGCCCAAAGCATCTCCGCCCTGGCCGAAAGAGTCGTCGTCGATGTCGAGGTAACGAGTGCGCAGCAGCAAGGTAGTGTTGTGAACCATCGGCAGCACATGGGTCGCGTCAACCTGAAATGAAGCATAAAATAGGTTAGTACTTGACGGGTAGTTAAAGTAATACGAGTGTCTTGCATATTAAACGCTCACCTGGCGGCGCTGGAACTTCAAGCTCAGATTGTTGAGCTCCTTCAGCACATCCGCAAGGAGAAACAGCATGAACTGAAACTTGTAGCTAGTGATGACCTTGTACATCTTCTTGTCGAACTCGTGCAAGACAAACACTGCCGCCGGAAACACGTTCACCAAGCGGCCGATGGCTTGACCGCGAGACAACCATCGAACGTCCTTGATCCCTTGAACTTCGAGGTTGGTCTCGCAGATGACCTCCTGCAGCTCAAGAAAACGTGAGTGGACGACCGAAGACCGACCAAGATTTTCGGCAACGGAGCGAACCACCTTGTCCACGATGTTGAGGTCCGGGTGTTTGATCGCGGCATCTTTGGCCGCCAAGGCCTCCCTGCAACGCATAAAGACGGAGAGTTAGAAATCACGAGAGCGTAAACAGAAAAACACAAAGCAAAAAGCCAGCATACAACGGATGATCCCACTTGCCTGTGCGCGATGCAGTGTGATGACACGATATGTGGAGCCTTCTCTTTCAGGCGCGCGGTCACTCCGTTGTGCTGGCCGATCATGACACTAGCTCCATCAGTGCTCATACCGGATATGCGCTGGAGATCGATGCCGCTACACTCCAAATGGGTAAGGAGAACGGTCGTGAGAGAAGCGGCGTCACACTGCTCCACAGTCAGCAAGGCGTAAAACTCGGTGACGGGAGCGTTGTCACGCATGAACGTCATGTAGACGATCATGTGTTTGCCCTTCCTCCGGTCGGTACTCTCGTCCAGCTGGATTCCAAGGTATGGACTTGCGCGGATGTGTTTCAGCTGGCGGGATTTCAGGTAGCACACCATGGTCTCCACCAGTTGTGCGAAGCCGTACCTGAAACAAGGCGGGATTGCTATCATTAGCATCTCTTCGAAAGCAAACCACAGAACTCAATATACGGGACACTTACTCGCTGTAATATGTCCCGTTCTCCTTAAGGGGCATATCCGGAGTCCCCTGCTCAGCCATGAACTGGACGAGTGACACAAAGAGCACAATGGGCGCGTCAGACTTGCAAATGAATAAGACAATAGACATCAAACGTGCAAGGCGCTTGACATCCTCGTCCCCTTGGTGGAAGTCAACGATAGACTTCTGTCCTTTCTTCGCGCCGTCGCGTTGTTCCTTCTCCCGGACCGCCGCCTCATGCTTCCGGCTGTGATGATGCTTGCGCATCGTCTGCTTCTGAATGTCGATGCCACCAACACCGTAGCGCCCGTACTTAGAGTGGGGGTCGGCGAACACCATGCAGATGCTGCAGCGCATGCAGGGTCGGCCATCCTTGGTTTCGGAGATGAAGAGCCATGGAAAGTACCGCTGCCACTGCTCCTTGCACTTCAGCTGAAGCTCTTCAACCGACAACTGCTTGCCTTTGGGGTCCTCGAAAACCTTAGCCGCAGGTTCGGGGGCCACGGGTCGCGTCTCCACAGACGGTGCCGGCTGAGTCGGACCGCCCGGACGCGCGAAGTTCAGCACACGCTGCTTGTACCGCCCCTGTGATGACCTGTCGGGCAAGACGGGGTTAGCCCTGAGAGCGGATTTGGTAGTGTCAGATACTACGCGGACGTTATTATCGGCACCGCATGACGGCATGCAGGTAGATACTGGCGTAGTTGGTGTTGCGGTCGATGGCAAAGAGTTATCGCCATTTTCCGACAATGGCGCATCATCAATAGGCGAGGGTACCGCAGCAGATATTGAAGCAATCGGTGGGGCGACAGGGGCGATTGGCTTGGCCTGCGTTAGGAAGTCTAACGCCGAAACCCCTGGCGCAGCAGCGGTGGGGTCGGCCATAGCCTAAACGAGATGATAGAAATTGTGATGAGGGACCATGCTCGGCTGGGTGAGAGGTGAGGTGGACGAGCTCCTCAAACAGCCTGTTTAACAAGCCTCGGTCAGCTGCATGAAACCCCCTCATCGAGCAGTGTGAATCAAAAGGCGATGCGTGAAGGGAGCCGGGGAAGGACAACCACTGTCCAAGGTTACGTAACGTGTATGAAAGGAAAGTGCGCTGGCACAATGTGACAGCGCGTTGCCGTGGCTGTGGCTGGCGTCAGCGCCGACAGCCAGCTACATGACAGTCTCCTGGCAGCAATTGCCGCAGGTTCGTGACAGCGAGGCTGCTACAAGACACGCACATTGAATGCGCGTGCAGGTACATGGCCTAGTGGTAGCCTAGTGGTCCAATGGCCTAGTGGGCTAAATTGTCGGTTTCAGACGAAAGCGAACGCGATATCTGTAAAGTTAGACGAAGTGTTCTACATGGTCTGGAAATTCATACGAACGTAAAGCATTTGTCTTGGGGTTCAGATGAACAATTTCAAAATTTCTTAGAACTCAGATGAATACAAAAAATCACGTCTGAGAATCAGAAATTCAGACCAAATTGGTCTGATAACGAGGGCCCTGGTCTACCTCAGGGCTCTTGCTAACTATTTGGGCCGTCTGATGAAAAAGTAATTTTTTTTTTTTAGTCTGACCATCATATGAGGGATCCTGGGTGATCTGATTTTCATATGAAATATCTAAGGCCGTCTGTGAACGCAGATAAAATGTTTTAACGTGCGCACAAATTCATGTGAGTAGCGTAGTTGGTTTGATTTGAACACGGAATCTTGCGGGTCTGGGATCGAATCTTGCCAGGGGATTGTCGAGCTTCGTTGTTATCCCTTTGGTTATCAGACATACGTATCCTCGCTGTCTGGAAACTCATGTGAAATACAACCTGTGGTCTGCCAAAACATATGAATATAAACTCCTTATCTGCTCATATGAGCCGCATTTTTTTGTCTGCGAGAACATATGAACAACAAAAAATGCGACTGAAATCTAGACCAACAGACTAAATTAGTCTGCTAACGAGAGCCCTGGTCTACCTGCTGCTGGACTGCCATTTGCGTTGTATGGTAAATTCGTTTCGACAAACACCTGATCCAAATGCTCGGAATCTCAATGAAGCGCACTTGATCGCAGAAAGCCTGGCTGAACCGCAGATTCTGTATTTCGTATTACGGTTTGCTCATGCGTCCCTTGTTACCACATCTCGTATACCTTGTCTCGCAAATCGCTCGTGAATGTCCGAAAGGTCGACAGCGAAGAGCTCGTGGACACAACACGCTGTTACATCTGTTCGCTATCCTCGTGTCGTGACCGATACCCGTGCAATTACACAGCGAATTGACGGAACTGGACGTCTTGCGTGTGTGCACTGTAATGCGGCTGTTGTATAGAGAATATATTCAATGTAAAACCCATTTCCTGTGCCCAAGGCCCAGAGCTTCCATAGTACTGTACCTAGCTTCTCGCCTCATGTAACACAGCCAGCCATCAGATTAATTTGTCATGCTCTTTTCAGAAAGCGGGAGACAGGGAGGAAGAGATGGTTGCCTTGCCTCAGACCACCAGTACTACTTTCAGATTACAGTTCAACAGGAAATGGCTACAGTAGCATAATGCCACCTTCATCCACCATTGTATCAACCACAGTCGCTAATTTCCCCTCATACTTCTGCCCTTTCTTCAATCTAAACACCACCGCAAACACATCTACATCCATAGATCTCTCCGCAATCAGCCGCCCAATCACCCGACACGCATTCTCATCCACTAAAGACGGAAGCGACATCCTCAGGTCTTTCGCGCTCGTCGTCGCCACCGAAACCACCCTGCTGGTAACCCTATGCATCACTTTCGCGCTCACGTAACGCTTGGAAATGTACACATCTAGGATAAACGGCTTCACAAACTTTTCGTGCCGTTCTTTCCATGACTTTGCCTTGGGCTTGGCTGTCTTGCCGCCGCTGCCTCCTGCCGACTTGCCTCCTTTCCGGGTCCATCCAGCTGCCTCTATTTTGGGGGGAACGTGTGCGTTTCTCTGGCTGCTGGGGGCGAGGGTAATCTGCTGCGCCTGTAGTAGAATCACGGAGCGGGAATGTGTGAGGCAGAGGAGAAGGAGGAGGAATGTGAGGCATTCACAGGCAAGAACAGGGCTGCAATGAGGTGAGAGTTCTATTCTGTTTTGTGCATTGAGGGTTGATAGAATCAAAGGGCGTGGGGGGGGGGGGGGGGGGGGGGGTGGGTGGGGGTGTCCAGAGGTGAAGGAGGTCTGAAGTGAGGGATTCACAGGTAAGCCACAGGGGTGCAATGAGGTGAGAGTACTTTTCTTGTGTCACTCTTGAGAATTCTCAAAAGCGACACAGGCAAGCACAGGGGTGCAATGAGGTGAGAGTACTGTTCTGTTTTGTGCATTAAGGGTTGATAGAACAAAGGGCGTGGGGGGAGGGGGGGAGGAGGGGGGGGTCGAGAAGCGAAAGAGGTCTAAATAAAGGCATTCACAGGCAAGCAAAGTGGTGCAATGAGGTGCCCAGTGGTGTTGGCATGTGACGAGATCACAGGCGTGCAAAGGGGAGCAGAGGCGTGACGCCGTCCTATTGCGTCAAGCCACATCGATTAGGGACATGCCCCATGTAACGATGCCTTCAATCGTATCACGTTCACCCATACAGCAGTGTCACACCGCCTAGTGTAACACCACATAGTGTTACGACCCCACAGTGTCATACCGCGTTAAGTTGTACAGGAGACACGAACGAACTGGCCCCGATGGGATCTCCTAGGAACTGGAAAGCCAACCGCCATTGGCTTGTATCGAGACGTGCTGATAGCGGTGCCGCGAACGGAACAATACACGATCGCGATGTGCACGAGGAAGCGAGGCTCGATCGCGATGGAGCTAGCAGCGGCGCGACGGACCATCGGACGGCGCTCCGCGATATCGCCATCGAACCCATCTGAAGCGCGCCGATCGCAGTGGGAGCTTGTGAGGAGATTGATTGCCGTGGACTATGCGAAGGGGACCCGCAACATCGGAGAAGATCGGGGGTGTGTTCAAGTTGAAATTTGGTTGGCTTCAAGATTTCTAGGGTTGGGCCCGACAACTGGTCGGGAACGTTGCTTTCATGAACGTGCGCACGATTCTTTCAGTTGGAAAACCTGAGCCGAGGCGCGTTCGGTTCGGAACTTCTTTTGTCAACACGTTTTGGAGTCCAATGCATGGTGCACACGTCAAGCAGGAAAGTGCGAGGAATAGAACATCTCCCCAACGACGCTGTCGAAAATGCAAAATATGTAACATCGTAACTAAAGCAGCTGTACACTTAGGCACGCAAATTTGGACCTGGTAAATCGATTATGATAATTAATCGAGTATTGAAATCCGTTTCGCCGACATTCAATCAAACGTAACGTTAACTGGTAACCACAACCCGATATAGGAATTGCGTTTAAGTTTACAGACTTGATGAACACACCCTTCCATAAATTGGAAGGTTTCGAGTACGAAATTATTAACCACAATCGGATTGTAACGCTATGTGGTAACATTCCGATTTGTTAAAACAGAAACTGGTTATAGTCACATGTTTAAAGAACGATTATTACACTTAGTATGTTTATCATAAAAAACTTCACATAAAAAAAACACAAAACAGGAAAATGTAACTAGACCATCTACACCCCCTGCCCATCATCTGCTCTGCCATAAATTACTCCAAGAAGGCCTCATCCTCATCTCCAGCAAGGTCATTTGCCAGCACTTCCATGGAAACTTCAGTCCAGTTAAGAAGGTACAAACGGCCAACATCCTCATCGATGCTCTGCTGTAGCGTTGGCAATCCGCCATAGAGAGCTGCTCTGTTGGCAGGTCGCCTTTCTGTAGTGCTGGCGCGGTGCCTCTACACAACGCTGGTAGGTTGCCGACTTTGCTGCGCTGGCGTTCGACATGCCTGTCTGCTAGGTTGATACGCTCTATTGTTGTCATTCTTGCCATTGCTTGTTCAATCATACTGTAATGCCACTTTCCCTACTAAAACTAATCCCAAATTGCCCCGAGAACGCACAAGCGCTAGAGAACCCTAAAAACCCCTACGATCACTATTAGGACCCATTCCTTCACCCAAAGTACAGCTCCTGGTGTTGGGCGACTCTCTGAAGAATGCACCGACTAGCACCAAACTTGTCCTGAATGCCTGCAATGTAGTAAGTGTAGTGAAAGATCATAACAATCGTTGAAAAAGAACACAAACGACCGTCAAAACAACATCACGTGTCGCACAAGTATCCTTGCACAGTTGTCCAAGCTCGATCGTTTGAACCAACATATTGTCCTATCAGATGCGGCGAATGGCACCAAACAAGTCCTCCATGCTTGCAATATACTAAACGTAGTCAAAGATCATACGAAACTTCTAACCCTATGTCAACAGGAATGGAGTGTTGGCCCCGCTCTCGCTTGGTCAACGCCGACGACTTGGTCGGATGTACGGGAGTAGCAGCCGACCGTTCACAGTGGGAGAGCTTCTCAACAGGCATTATCGAGCTGCAGGGGACTGCTGTGGTGCTGCTGTCGACCAGGGAGCTCGACAGCTGCAACTGACTGGTCTGGGCGACGGATGGGCCGTCGACCAGGAGGGGCAGTTCGACCGGGAGGCCTCCGTCGACCTGCAGCTCAACCAGGGGGTCCCGGTCGACCTGCAGCTTGACCAGGGGGTCCCCGTCGACCTGCAGCTCGACCAGGGGGTCCCCGTCGACCTGCAGCTCGACCGGGAGCAGTCCGTCGACCTGCAGCTCGACCGGGAGCAATCTGTCGACCTGTGGTTCGACCGAGAGGTCGACGGAGCAGTCCGTCGACCTGACACGTGAACAGCGGTCGACGAGGGGAGCTCGGCGACAACCGCTGACGGTTCTGGTCGACGGAAGGGGTCTGTCGACCAGGGGGTAGCTCGACGGGAGTTGTGGTCGACCAGAGGCACCTGTTGGTCGACCAGAGGGACCTGGTGGTCGACCAGAAGCAGTGGTGGTCGACCGGAAGCACCTGGTGGTCGACCGGGTCAATCGGGTAACCTGCTCGACGAGTTCTGCGGAGGCACGCGAACGTCGTCGAGGATGAGATGGCGCAGGCGACTGCGGGCTGGTATCCCGGAGTCGATGTGGCTTGTCATGCGCAGACAACAGCCGACGCAATTGGGTCAATCGTCTGCGCGCATTTGTGAGCGTGCACACTGCTGTGTTCTACGGGGCAACGCTGGACAGCCGCTCTGCTGTGCTCTGTTGGCAGGTCGCCCTTCTGCAGTGCTGGCGCGGCTCCTCTACGCAACGCTGACAGGCGGTCGACCGAGCTGCGCAGGCGGTCGACCAGGCTAGCAGTAGGGTTGCTAGGTACCTGATGTAGTCATTGCTTGTTGAATCATTATGGAACTTCGACTTTGCCTAGTGGAAACTCTTGCCGATTTCTCTCGTGAATGTGCAAGCACTAAGGAACTAAGCAAAGCTACGATCACTCCGAGTAGTTCGTGCCAACCCCCGTAGTCTAGCTCACTACCGTTGTAGGGTGACTGTCCGCACCCTAAACCCAAATGGACGTCTTGTACGACATCAAGTGTCGTACAAGCCTATCCTTGGACCGCTTCCCCTCCTCGATCGTCTGAAGCAACATAGTGAAATGTCAATCCAATCGTGGTTAAAATAGTCAAACGGACGCTGAAACGGCATCACGTGTCGCACATGACTATCATTGCAAAGTTTTCGAAACTCATCGTTTTAAACAACATATATTCCTATCATATGCGGCGAATGGCACCAAACCAGTCCAGCAAGCTTGCAAGATAGTGAACGCAGTGAAATGTCAATACAAGAGTGGCTAAAAGAAGCAAAAAGACATCGATACGGCATCACGTGTGATGCAGGCCTATCCATGTACAGTTCTCACTGCTCGATTGTCTGAAACAACATATCTGCTCGATTGCACGGCTTTTCTTGCACCATCGTTTGGAACAGCATAAATTCATTCCAGACGCGGCGAATGGCACCAAACTTGTCTTGCATGCTTGCAAGACATTAAACGTAACTAACGATCGAACGAAACCTTGTCGAAATAAGTAAACGGACATCGGAACAGGATCACATGTCGCACAGGCCTATCCTTGCACATCATTCCCTGTTCGATCGTTTTAAGCAGCATAACTTCCTACCAAATGCGGCGAACGGCACCATAGTTGTCCCACATGCTTGGCATATAATAAGTGCACTGAACGAACAAAAGTAAGCTTGTTAGAAATATCAAAATGACGTCGAAACGACACCACGTGTCACACAATCCTATCGTTGCACAGTTTTGCCTGCTCAAACTTCTGAAGCATCACATCTTATCACCAGATGCGGCGAATGGCAACAAATCTGTCATGCATGCTTGCAATATATTTAATGTAGTGAATGATCAAAATAAACCTTGTACACAACTACAAACGGATGTCAAAAACGTGTCGCACAAACCTACTTAGTTGCACCCTTTTATATAGACTTGCTCGTAACGTGGTAAATGTCACACCTAACAAAAGAATCCGTGCTAAATGGTAGCCATAGAATATTTAACACATATGTGAATGATAAAGACGAACTTATGTTACTAAAATCGAGCGGACATCAAATTGCCATCTATGTCGCATACGCCTATCGATGCACAGTTGTCACAGCTCAATCGTTTGAAGCAACATATCTTCCTACTATATATGGCGAATGGCACCAAAGTTATCCTGCATTCTTGCATTGTAGTAAATGTATTGAATGATGAAAAACTATCATGTTAACCAAATAAAAAAGGACGTCGAGACGGCAACAAGTGTCGCACAAGCGTGTCCTTGCGCAGTCTTCCCTGCTCAATTGTCTAAAGCAGCATATCTTCATAGACGATGCGGCGAACGACACAAGACTTATCCTGCATTGCAACTTATGTTCCAATTAGATGCGGCGAATGACACCAAACTTATCCTGCACGCTTGCAATATAGTAAAAGTATTGAATGATAAACAGTAACTGTTTTAAAGAACCCAATGGACGTTGAGACGGCGCCACGTGTCGCATGCGCATAGCCTCTCTACAATAGACGTGAGCTAGACTACGTGGTGTTGGCACAAACTCTAAGAGCGTTCCTTAGCACTTGCGCATTCACGAGAGAAATTGGCAAGAGTTTCACTAGCAAAGTTTGCATTCTTGAATGGTTGAACATACAATAGCAATGATAACTACATCAGGCACCTAACAACTATGTAGCTAGCCTGGTCGATCGCCAGCACAACATGGTCGACCGCCTGCCAGCGTTGCGTAGCCGCGCCAGCACTGCAGAAACAAGGCATGCCAACGCAGGAGGTCGATGGCGTGCCAACGCTGTACAGCGTTGCATCCGTCGAAGACAACAGTACGCACGCTCGCAGATTCGCGCAGACGATTTGCCCCGACCTGCACTGCTGTGCATCTGTCGGCGGCTGTCTGCGTCTGACGAGCCACATCGACTTCGAGATACTAGCCCGGAGTCGCCTTCGCCACCGCGACCTCAACGACGTTCGCGTGCCTCCACAGAACTCGACGAGCAAGTTACTTGGTCGAACACCCAGTGCGCGCCCTGGTCGACGAACCCCTCATCGACCACCGCATTCGTCGAACTACTCTGGTCGACAGCCCGTCCGTCGACCAGCAAGATCAGTTGCAGTCGTCGAGATCCAGTTCTCATCAGCTGCCCACAGGTCCCACGTAGGTCGACGGACTGCTTCGTCGACCTCCCCTGTCGAACTAGACCGCCGGCTCCTATCGACGGCGGCATCGCAGCGGTCGCCTGCAGGTCGACAACCCCGTCGACCAGCATGCGTCGAACCCTGCAGAAGAGTCGGCCGCACCACCCGTGCGCCCGACCAAGAAGTCAGCGTCGCCCAAGCAAGGGCTTGGCCGACAATCCATTCCC